TAATGAGAGAAAAGCTTTTACTAGCTCATTGTGTCTCCAGTACACTAATTTCTTCCATGTCCTACAAATAACATTTTTATAGGTCAAAGACACATACGTGTGCATGTCTTTCCCTCTGTGTTGCTGTCATTTCTGCATGTAGTATACTTGAACCTGAACGTTAAATTCTGCCTGGGTGATAGTGGACAAGGAAGGCCAGATAAAGTTATTCCAATATTTCTCATATCTTTCAGTGTCAGAGCCAGTGTTTGTATAATTGAAAAATAATTAGCTCATTAAGAGGGCTAAAGAGCTGTTAATTTATCTGCAAAGTTCTGCTGCAATAGCTGTACTGGTAGGCAGTGTGAAAAAATCATGCCCCAAGTCCACATAGCTGTATTGCAAAGCCCACGGCAAAATGCTGGAGCAGAATCCTTCGGTATTTCCCTCTGTGCTGTCTGGGGACACGTGCAGCTGCCTGGGAGGAGAGGAGACACCTCGGCACAGCTGTAGTGGTAGAAGTTTGCTTTCCGGATGTGCCAGCGGGTGGTTGTACATGTGTATCTGTGCTGTATGATGTGTTTTCACCTCTGTGCGGTGCTTCATGGTGTTTTGGATGTGTAGATCAGCACTCGGCAGTTAACACAGTTGAGCTGACTTGATTCCCACCCCTGCGGTCGGCAGGTACAGTCCTGCCTCCCAGAGCTCACTGCACGGCCAGCCCCACTCCTCAGCGCTTGGGTGGCATCCCTCTGGCTTGGAGGGCTGCAAATGTCCAGTGCCTCACAAAGATCCAATGCATGGTGTTAAGACAGCTATTTTTTTTACCTTCTGTAGTTCAGGGAAATAGTTTACACAGGGAAAAAAGAGGTCTTTTGTCAAGGTGTGGTGAGGGTTTTGCCACTGCTGCATTATCAGCAAAGTTTGTTGAGGAGAGGCTGGCCATAGATTTGTTTGTTTTTTTTTTTTTCCTGCAAAGCAATGCCTGTGGTTCATAACCACGCTACCCCACAACCAAACTGATGTTTTATCACCGTTTTCTTCCCTGTGGCGAAGAGAGGAAACCACTTTGTGACTGCCTTCCTTGTGCTCCGGCACAGCCGAATCCCAGCAGTGGCAGTGCGGACGCTTTCCCCGTCCAGCAGCCAGGAGCCCGAGCTCTCGCCCTCGCCTGCCCGCACGGCAGTGGGCCCGCACAGCCAGAGGTGGGGCTGAGCTCAGCCTCGTCACCCTGAGCAGCTCCCCTGTGCCCCGCGCGCTACCCCAGTGCCGGTAACGGATCTCCTGACTGATCGTCAGGCAGAAGAAACCCCTCCAGGGCAGTGGTGCTGGCCTGGGGTTGTTTTGAAAGCACATCGGCGAAGTGCCACACAAGCACGTTCAGGGGTCTGGGAGGAAGGACCCTGGGAGCTTGAATCCTGCTGAACCAGGCACTTTCCTGCTCCCTGGGATCCCACCACCAGCTGTGGGTACTCTGCTCAACATTATGACTCCGAAGAAGCTCCTGGCATTCCCAGACACCTCCACCCCTCCAGTACGGCTTGTTGGATAGACGTGCCTTAACGTGTAGACTACACACGGCAAACACACGTGTGGCCAACACAGGTCTTCCAGCTCACGTGCACTGATGTGTGCTGCTAGACTTGCGCTTCTGCGTATGGAAAAGTCCTTGAGAGAAGAAGCAAAAAGAGAATAAAAACAAAAAGGAGGGAAAGTAAAGGAAAGAAAGGACAGAGCAGGTTAACAGATGATGCTGTTACACAGGCCGGTATCATGAATAACTTGCCAGTCATCTCTGATGGTGCTTTTATTGTATAAATAATAACTTCTTGAACATGGCTTGGCTGTCTCGGGGCTATGGTTTTCAGCAAGCGTCGTGCTTCCCTGTTTCACCGCCTGCGGAGGCTGTCATTTTGGTTTGTGGCTTGTTCCTCTGTGACAGCTGTCACCGAATAGGCCATGCTGGTTCCTTGTCTGTAACTCCCTTCGCTGGGGCAGGGGCTGGGCTGAAATGGTGTCCTGGGCTGCGGCAGGGCTGGGAGGGGTGGTGCCATGCAAGACGGGTCAGGGCCATTAAGGCCTGTTGCTTCACTCAGGGCCCTGACAATTGATCTTTATTACAGGAACTTTTAGCCAGTATCTTGTGCTGTAGTACTAAATAGCCCAGGTGCTCAAACCCGCTATTTTCCCTGAACTGTCACCTCCCTGCTGTCAGTCCCTGTCGTGTGGCGGTACCTTATTATGGAAAAAAAAAGGCTTATGAAGATGAAAACCCTTGTAGTATAAAACCAATTGATCTGAGTGATTAAATCAATAAATGTGACTGGTGACTGCTCATTTTCCTATATCAGTGAAATCCTTGAGGTTTATAGATGAACTGCCACTGAACCTCTGTTCTGGTGCTTGAATCTCTGTAGCACGGAGAACTCTGGCACAGGATTAGAAACCCCATTTTCACAACCAGCCTCTGAGGATAGAGAAGGAGCAGTAACTGGAGAACACCTTCAGGAGCTTGTGGGACTCTATAAACCAAAATATTCATAAGTACTGTGAAAGACTCTTTTTCCCCATGTTCCCATGTTAGTCCTTACACCATGGGATTGATGACATGGGAATGAAGGAATGAAGCTTGGCAGATGTATTCCTCTAGTTAATCAAGGAAAATACAAGAGGTATAGGAGTTGTGTATTTATTACTCTTTCCTAAGTCTTGAACTTTAAGCTTGTCTTTATCGGATACATCCTGTTCTTCAGACTCTTTCTCCGGTGTGTCTTATGTTCCTCTAAGGTCAGAAGTAACAGACTGTACACATGAAATGGACTAAGTCCGTGAAGTCAAACAAGCATCTCCTGGAAATTTGGACCTTCCACCTCATGGAGCATAAGAACTGTCATTTACTGTTGCATTTAGCAGCTCAGGATGTTACAAAGGCACAATGGCCAAAATCTTTATTGCACAAGGAAATTGTGTGAAGGCCTGGAGGATAAACTGCAATGCCATGCTGAGCATATCATTTCCAGACACAACCTTTTATTTTTGCATGGCTATGAGTCAATTTGGTACCTCTTGCTTGTTCAGCTATTGCATGGCAACAGTGTTATCTGTCATGGAATCATAAGGAAACCTTGACTCACATTAGGGTTCAGGAATACCACGGAGCTATACAGAGCATCCTGAGATACAGGATATTGATACAGGTTAGGCTTCCCACTGTAACCACTGACTTTGCAGCTTCTCTGGAGAACTTTAAAGACACCTTATTAGACCTTCCATAATAGGAGCCTTGAAATGAGCTGTACCTGCTCCTCCTTATCTCTTCATTCTAGGAAATCATGTAGCTAAATGCTCAGTAATTGTCAATTGTAAATGGATTATCATGAGCTATTAGAAGAAAAAAAAAAAAGAGAATACATGACAAACTCTTCAATATTTTATGCAGGTCTAGTCTCATTTCTAAAAATAGTGTAACTAAACAAGATACAACTGAGGAATAGCACAATGAACAAAGGTATGGGTGGGAGTCCACACAAGAAGTGATTAAATATACCCTGCATATAAGTATACTTAGGAAAGAGTATACTGCGGGAAGATAGGATGGAGACCCATAAGAAAACAAGCACTGTGGTGAAGCAAAGTAGGAAATGGATGTCCACTGTCTCCTACTACAAAAACTAGGAGATATTAAATGAAAGCAGCAGATAACAAGTTCAGAATAAATAAAATGGTATGCTTCTTTGCACAGCTGTAGTGAAGATAGAAAACTTTAAGAACTGATAAATACCTAGACACATAGAAAGTCCCTGAACTGCAAATTGCTGAACCTATCAGAGTACTCTGGAAATGTGTCAATGTATTTGTGCCATGTTCTTAACCTTATCTGTATTGACCATTGCTGGAGATGGGTTACTTGGTTCGATACAATCTTGGCTTGAGCCTGTATGTCCATTATTATGCTTCCTTCTACTTTGCTGCAACAGCATATGCTGTCTTTGGGCTTTGAATTATATGGAGATTTTTTTGCTTATTTTCAGTCCTCTGAAGGAAAACAGATACTACCAATGGGTTGTTGGTGAGAAGACTCTTGTTAAAACCAGCAGGAGAGCTATGAATATAATAAATGTATTACTGCACTTTTCTGTCTTAACTAAGTTGACAAGCTAGCCAGCAAACGTCTGTTGCCTCTCCACAGTCTCCATTTTGACACTCTGCATTGATAATGAGCTGGATTTATGGAGAAATGAATCATGTAGTACGAGAGGTGCAGATTCATGCAAAGGAGCTATGGATGAAATACTATGTCACCATTAAAAACCTGTATTTACTAATAAAACACTTTTTTGGTTTTCCCTGAAGTCAAGTTTGATGTAAAAAATAACAGCATAAAAGTTCTTGGATACTAAAAGAAACACTTGTTTTGCTCTAAGAGCCTTGGATTCTTGTTAGGATCCAGAGTTAATCAGCAACAGAGATTTACTGGAGGAAGAGTTAATTTCAATTTCTGCTATGCAAGGGAGTACACACAGTTTGAGGGAGTGATGTTGTGCCATTGCTGTAGTTATAGCAGTGGGTAATCAGAAACTATTTGAAATGTGTTAATTCTATAAATTACACAGCAGTTGTTCCCTGCTAGCATAAAGATAAAACAAGCATAAGTTAACCTCAGTGCTCCTACTGCTCAGGGATCAAGGGCAACAGAAGGGAAGCATGCAAGTGCTGGTGCTGCTTCTGCCAGGAGTCTGTACTGCCTCTGCATCTGCTCGGGGAAAAATAGAAGAATCCACTTCTGCAGCAAGGTGTTTACCAGAAGCACCCCTCAGAAACAGGTCTTGGCCAAAAATTCATCTGAAGAGCCTGGAATTATCCACTTAGGATCCCCTTAGCCACAATGGTCCCTGCACACACAGAACACTGTCTAGAATAGAAGTTTCCCAATTTTTATTTTGAAAAACTTACATTTTGTCCTTTTTTTTTTTTTTTTATATATATTGACTTTTATTAGAAACAACAGAAATCGCTTTGTTTTTCAAGACCTCCTTAAACAGAATAAGTCACAGTTTAACATTATAGTTGCAATACAAAATAATGAAATTCCAATGTAGGAAAACTATAGGAAATGATAGCTAGTAGGAAATTAATTCTTATTTTACTTCCATTTACTGCACTTTCAAAGTTGCAGGTTTCTATACCCAGTCATGCCTGTCAGTGAGAGCATATCACTTTTCATCAGTCCCCTAACCTGCCACATAGCAATGATAAGAAACACATCATCACCTTCCACTCAGTTCTACTAGCATATTGTGCATTTTGTTTCCAGAGTTGTTCTTCATTCTGATGTTGAGAGTACTGCTGAACATAAGGTAAAGAAATGAACACGAGGCCATATAAGTGAATTTATAACAGAAAGAGAAAATGTTCCCCAAAGAGCTACCAGAAAATCATGCTGCATGTCAGAGGAGGAAGGAGGGGGAGTGATGGGATCGTGCTCATAAGCAGTAATGAATACAACAGATATAAACCTCCTCAAACCAAAGCAGACTATACAAGTGACTGTGCTTATACAAACGTTAAAAAACTAAAAGAACACAGACACCCATTTTTTTTTTAATCACATTTTTGGTGGACAGGAAGTAAATGCCTTGTTGCTGGCGTTCTGGTCTTCTGAAATTCAGTTTTGCACAATGTTGCCTGCATTGGCCTAACTTTTGTACGGGAATTTTTCTGTTTTCCACAGTAAACTCACTTGATAGTGGTACTCCCTGAAATACTCCAGTACATTCCTGACAGTTTCACCAGAAAGTGTTTACTAGAGTGTTGTATTCAGTGTTTTATCTCTCCTAGATGCACAACCACACTTCAGCAACACCATGAGCCAAGGCTGCAAGAAATACAAATTCACTGTTGAAAACTGCTGCCTTCTCAGAGTCCATTTTATCTTCAAGTGAAAAATAAAGAATTTAAAAGGAAATTGCAAGCAATAACTTATCAATCATCTGTCTTCCCTGTGCCAGGACAAACAGTATTTACTTTCATCCAGAGTATGTTATTATCTGTAAGTATTAACTCTGCCAAGTTCCAAGAAATAAAAGTGGGATGTCTTCTACAGAGGCTGAAAGTATACTGTTCTCTTGGTTCTTCTAATTCTCAGTTCTTGGGTATTTCACACAAAAAATTGTCCAGTTGTTTTTAGGTGACTTGTTATTTCACCAGATGTCACATTTTCTTGCTTCATGGACATGTAATTCCTATAAATGTGCATGGGAGTTGAAGGAACATAAGAAAAGACCGAATCCACTGTATTTTGGAAATAATTTAAACCTATTAAATAAGTATTATAATATTAACACATACAAAATATTCTTGATCTACCAAATTTTAATCTGTAGTTTTACAGTTTAGTTTTAAAATAGTACCAAAACATTAACGAAATTTCTAAGCATTGAAGTTGGATACCTAAAATATGCTTAATTAAACTCTGATGACAACATACCAGATATGCTGCTTTTTCATAGCTGGACCTGAAACCCCTTATATTTCATAAATATTAGCAATGCAGAAATCTTTAAAAGAGTTATTTTGGTGACATTTGTCAAGATTATTAAATATGTTTGTACTGATCTGCCTCTGTACTTCCCTGTTTTATCAAAAAGCCTGGCTCAAACATTAGATCTACAATATACTCTTGAGGAGGAAGCAGAAGCCCAGCTATTCCTTGAGGAGAGTCTTCAACCACTTTAACTTCATTCCAAGCTCTGTTATACTCGCCACGGACTAAACTACAGCCAATTCCAATTCTGTCTGCTATCACCTAAGAAGGAAAGAAAAAGGAGTTAATCACAGTTAGTACATGTAACTTCTGTGATATACAGGAAGGCCAAGAGATGCTTAAAAAGACAACAAATACCTGAAAGGCCAAGAGCTTTCTTGAAACAGACTGTAAATTTCTGAAGTGTTCCAAACTGCAAATCTTTATTGTTGGTTCTGCTTAGAAAGTGTAGGCTTTTAAATGTTATTTCCACCATAATCTATCCACAAGATGAAAAATAGTAATTTTTACTCTTTTCAGACACAGATACATTTGTTTACCAGCCAGTCCTTCAGACCTCAAATGAAGTGCAACACCCACAGTACCCAGAAATGTTTTTTCCCTCATTGGAAAACTTATTTCTGAATAACATTTTGAAGAACTGTCTATTCAAGCAATGAGGTGTAGGTATGTTGCACACATACAGCTAGTATGAAATATTAAGTGTAAAAACGCAACATTTTTAGCAGTGTAAGTTTAGGACTGCTCCTTCACTCCAAAGCACACTCCTTGCTTTTCAGCCCTGTGAATGTGAGAAGCAATGAAATGCAAGGCAAGTATTCACTAGATGAAACACCTGCCTTTCCTCTGTGCTGTGCTATCACTGACAGACATATAATGGTTTCCAGCTACAGAACTGCTTTCTCAGAATCCATCTGCTGTGAAGAAATGAAATCCTGAAGGATTTTTAACTTGTTACAAATGGAGAAGGATATCCATTGCTTAGGTTGCTGTGGTTTTAAGAGAGATGAGCCGTCCCTATAAAGGTTTCTTAGGACAGTGGAGGATAAGCAAATCCCAGTGCTGCTTCAGCACAACTAATTCACCCTCAGACCTCCATAAAATATGTCAGGAACTTTCTCTCCCCCTGGATACCATAAATTTAGGATTGTGCTTCTTCTCCTGTGTACTGTTTCCTAGGTCCTTCCTGCTTAATGTTCTAGGCCCCTGCTTCTCTTTTCCTTTCCATCCAAGAAGGAGAAAAGACCAGCTACCCAACAGCCAAGGAAAAAGGATGGGACAGATAAGCAGGCTGCACCAGTACATCTTCACATGAAGACAGAAGAAATTTATCTTCCCAGTTTAAGAAAGTAGAACATAAAAGCTGTTATATACTATCATAGAATACTGGATAGATACCAAATAAAAACTGTCCCAACAAGTTTACATTTGCAGCATGGAGAAAAAAGGAAGCTGCATAATTCAATATTTTACAGTTTACAGAACATGTAAAATGTTTTGACTCCCAATCAAATATTTTGGCTTTTTGCCATTTATCAAGTATTCCACTGATATCACTTAAGACAATTTAATGACAACAAGAATGTTTACAGAAGGAAGCAATGCTGGCTTTCATTCACTGGGAAATCAGCTTTGCCAGTGAAAAATGACTTAAGTATATACAAAAGATTTTACATGAATATAAATATTACACTGATACAAGTATACTTTAGTTTATAATATTCATCTAACATCAATATGTTATGTTGTATGATAGATGTTAATGTACCTTGAAAAGTAAAGCCCTGTGGTAGAATGTCCCTTTTTTGACTTTCCCAATAGGCACAACGTTGCATTTCAGTTCAAATTCTATTTCGCTTATGTGAAGTTCCCAGCTGAAGTCATGCAGTTTGTCTCTTTCAATCGGGCCACCCATCTTGCCTGCAACGAACCTGTTCCAATGTATACTGGAATCAATTACATCTATAATTTATCACAAAAATGTAGCAAAATCAAATGTATACAAGCAATAAGTGAATGACATGGAAGACTTTAATACTTTTGCTATGTTTACATTTTTTTTATTTTATTCAGTAACTGGTATTTTAAATATGCTCACTGTTAAATACAGATAACCGTAACTCAGGTCATTCACATTTGTCACAGACCTAAACCAAGGTGCAACAGCTGTTAGAAGAGATTCTGTTGAGGTCTAGTATAGGCACGAAGTCCTTAGAGAAAATCATCAATAACAGTGCAATTACTGAGGAAACAGTTCAGAAGCTAGTGCTCATCTTTACAGCTAACAGATTACATAAGCTGTGCATTACAATTCCCAGCCCCACCATTTGTTTGAATAGTAATAAAGGCATGAGAATATATATGACAAAAATAAAGCCATAGGTAATGATACCAACATAGGAAAGCAACTATATCCATAAAGGGTACTTCTACAACTTCTACATGTGCTTTCTTACATTGAAGTCAGTATTTGGGGGGTGAGAGGTATGTATTTATCCATTAAAAAGAACAGCTCAGTCACAGAAGATCAGAACTCACAATCCGTGCAAACACTGCCAAAAGCATGTCTTTTGGGTGACTGCACAAGCAGGATCAAACCCTGTTTTGTAAGTCCCTACCTCCTCATACACACACCATCACCTCCCCTGTGCGTGGCCCCTGTATGTGAAGACCTTTGTTCCTCACAGTGCCCTCGGCCACAGGCACACGTGTTATCGAGGCCTCTCACTTTGTCCAAGGTGTTGCAAGGCTGACATGGGAATCACAAGCCACTGCTTCAGACAGGGGGCTGAAACCTGCATCACCTCCCCTGCAGTAACTGTGAACAGGCTCCGTCCGCACAGTACATGCAAGGCAACCTCAGAGACCTTATTTCTTAAAACCTAGGGCCTGAGGAGGTATGTTTGCAACAGCGTGGGCACGGGGAGTTACCACCAAGCAGGCTAGATGTGGTATGCTGAAGTTGGGAATTACTGGGTGAACCTGAAGAAGTGGGGGGCTCCAGGCAGTCACTTGTGCTGCTTTGTGCCTAGAGCCAGCCCTCAGCAAAGACAGCAAAGCTTCTTGAGCCTGCACGCACACCACTCCTGTGTGTGCAGAAAGATGTGCTGCATTTGTTTAAAAGGAGACTGCCAGCACTAGCGTGTGCTCCCTCATCTACCCCGGCTCCCTCCCTGGTGAGCACAGCTGGAACTCTGCTCAAGCTGCCAGGCTGCTGCAGCTGCCTCCTCCTCCCCTTCCTATTCAACACATGCTATTCAGGCAGCCGCTTAAAATGGAACATACACATAAAAATCCCCACAGAAATCATTCTACTTAAACTTCCCGTGATTGTTTCACTGGGTTGTGTGCCTGCAAGTATTTCAGTGGTGTGTTTGAAGAGCAGATTTGAAAGAGCGTTTTATAGATTCCACCTTGAGGAAGGCAGCATGATTTATACACAGCTGGATAGTTAAGGATGAATATCTGACCTGTCAAATTTTGCAATCAACAGAAAAGACATTCCTCATATCACGTTAGACCGCTTCATTAAAAACAAGAGTTAGTAAAAGAAACAAATTTTGTGAGACTCAGTGGGATCTGACGCCAAACTCTCCAGATTCAGGAGGTAGCCAGGAAACTGCTACAACAGTAAAGGTTAAACTAAGGAGAAGATGAAAGCAGACACACTGCTTGGAGATGACAGTGATTGGTGCCCAGGTTGAGTAGTCAGTGTAACTAATGAATCACACATTGATAACAACAGTCTGTACATGCACCATTGCAATATTCTAGCACTATTAAATCATCAGGATATTAATTACAGTAGCACCTAAAAACTATGTTAGGAAAATGTCGCATGCTTTTGGCTCTGTATGAAAACAAAATACAAGACAGTTCCTGTCCCAAAGGGATTTCCAAACCAACTAGGCAAGAAAGATCATAAGGACAGACATGATACATGTAAGTTGCAACTGTCTTGATTATTATCATAGAGTTTTAAGTTTTGTGCATTTAGGCTCCGCAGCAGCTGGGTCTCTCCTGCTCCTTGATGATATAGATGCCAAATGCAGATGACATATTAATTGGAAAGAATTAGTACAGATACATAAATGCAAAAAAAACCCCTGAAATAGTCCATATGAATATTTTCAAAATGAGAAATTTATACCCTTTTGTTGCAAGTGTTATTAAAAAAACAAAAAAAAACAAAAAACCACCCTAATTACAACAAAATTAGAAACATGAAGCTTAAAATCTAAAATTATGTGAAAATTCTGGACCAAAGTGATTTGGATTCCTGTTAAGGATGGAAAAAATAAGAAATATGGAAAAGTTGTCCTTGGCTGAGAAAATGGTTATTTTACCAATTCAATTTATTTACATTACTTATGGAAATATAATTTGGTACTCACTGTGCAAGAGCCACAACCTGTTCCCGGGTAGTTGTTAGTGGTAGAATTGTTTTGGAAGCATCATTAATGTAATCCAGTAACATGAAGTCAGGTGGTGGTAGCCAATGTAAACGTTCTAGATTTATTTCATCTTGTACTTTAGATGTAATCTGAATATCTTCTTTTGATTTTTCCTCTTCTTTTTTCCCCTTCCCTTTCCTTACATAGAAAACAATATACACTTATTTAGAATACTGTAATATCTAAAGTCCAAATTCTAATACAGTAGTTCTTCAACAAGAGATTTTAGACAAACTGATTTGGGAGCGGGGTGGAAGGTAGGAGAAATCTTTTTTTTTGATAATGAATACTTAAAAATCTGCAAAGCCATAGAGGACACTTGTGGAACATGCCCTCAGGAGATGGTTAGGAAACAAGTGCCACTAGCTCCATAACAGTATTGCTGTAAATTCTGATTTTATTTTTGTCTGTGGCTCTGATATGCCTTTTCTGTATATGGATTATCTAGGGGAGAAGACACTTACCTAGATACATATAGGAAGCATTTTTAGACAGCTATGGTTTGGTTCCATATGGATATGAACCAAAGATCACGAACTCCAATGAGTTTTTACTTGATAGACATATAGACTTCAAAAAAAGGAACAAATGGTATCAAGAGCATGGCTGAAATCTTGATAGGACATGCCAAGCGGTAGTCTCTGTAGTTACAAATCCATGTACTTCAAGCATTATGCAAACTACAACATGGTTTGTCAGATGAAGATTTTATAAGAAGTCTCTGTATTTGCTGACTTTCTTCACTGTACATGCTACATATTTCACTGATGCTCAGGATTTGCAAAATGCCTGTGCTCCTGAACACGCATCATAAGCACCTAGCAGAAGTATAAATGAAATGCTTGTTCTGTTTAGATTGAATACTGTGCATTTCACAAGTTATGTATCAACCATAAAATCAGTATCTCACCAGTGGTATCATTAAGATCTATGCAATCAGACAGTTTAGGATTTTTCATTCATGGAAGCACATGGAACTTGTGTTTTGAAAACATTATATCTTTTTTCAGCATAGGTCCTGAATAATTCTACTGTGAAATATGACAAAATTTCTTCCCTTTGCTTAACAGTTCTGGCTTATTTTTTTAAAATCCATAATACTTCTGGCATCCTTAGAAGGAAAAAAAAAAAAAAGAAATAAAGGACCACTAGAGTACATGGCTCCAGGGCACACTGTCATTAGTGTATGCTCTTCAAATTATTCTGAAAATTTTAACAATGAACAGCACTCTTAAGACAGAAGTCATTGGACAAAGCAGAAGGGCATATACCGTTATCAGTAGTCTAATTCAAGCAATTTGTCTTCAGAATACTTTGCAAACTTTTACCTATTGAGATTTACCATATTCACAAAAAGCCCTTTTCATAGGTTTTATAAAGCACATTATTTTAGAAGGATAACCAATCAAGATTTAATCTTAAAATTATAGAAAATTCACCACCCTCTTAAATAATCCATTCTGGTTATTAATTACACTTATACTTGAAAAAAGCAGACAACAGTTTTCTTCAATTTGACTCTATCTAACTGTAGCCAGGGAACCGTATAATGCTAGATCAAACAGCTACTTACTTCTCCATTTATACACTTATACCTTATGGTTAAGAATACCCTGTTTAAAGAAACCTGAATTATTCCCACCTCTCTGGTGTCTGACTTAACAGGTTTTCAAAGCAACAAGTTCTACAAGTGATATAATTCTCATTCCTTTACCATTTTCTTTCTTTGTCCCCTTCTATCTTTGTTCTCTTCTATCCTCCCAATACTTTCTTTTCCCTATGAAAAGTGCAGTGCTAAATTACAGCAGGAGAATTTGTTCCCTATTCCTATCTACTGAAATGACTCTTGAATCATTCTTATTCTACTTCTTTTTAGTTTTCAGGAAGAAAACACTTGAGAGGGATGGGTTTGAACAGTGGTCTGTGTGTTTTTTTGCTGCTGCTTATTTCTCTCAGGTATGACTATATGATGTTCCTTGGTGGAAAAGCTGCTTTAAGGTTGTCTTCCACACCTGTCTCTACCTTGCTCCTCAACTCTTCAGTTCATCATGTCTGTCTAATACTCACATCATAAGGAACTGTGGAGATGCTGTCTTACAGCTCAGTGCTATAAAATAACCGGTAACCATTACAGTAGACTTCTACTATCTTTTTCCTGTCCTCTTTTTTTATCCCCATTTTATTTACCATTGGGAATTGTGACATCAGAAAAAAATCTCTCCCCTTTCCCAAAACTAACTTATTACTCATGAGACAACCTTGCTGCGAATGCAGAGGAATACTGCAAAGAACTCATGACAGTTAATAGTCTCCAAGCTGTTTCTGATTCCTCTTGCAGCTTCAGTACTGAAGTCCAGTAGGTCACCAGAGAGTCAGTGTGAGGAAGAAGGCAGTTAATACAATATTCTACCACCAAAAGACAGCCATGACACCTAATTTCTTTCTATTTTTTTTTTTTTTTTTTTTTTTTTTTTTTTGTGTAGCTGCCTTGGCTGTCTGTAGGGAGTAAATGAGCATTGGAAAGTATTGCCTTAAATGCTGTACTGGGACATAGCATGGAATAAATGCACATTTATCAGTCTACATTAAATATCATCTTTTAGCTCAGTCGGTGTGTATGTCAGATATACAACTGTTTGATCAAAAATGTTGCTATCTGTCTATGTAAATATATGTTAAACTATCAACTAGGCACTTCCTCTAGATCTAATTCAAACAATTCCAGCAGACAATTACAACTGTCCTTTCTCTTAGCTTTCAACTATGGTTTATATAAAGTAGTATCACTTTTTCAAAACAATGGCTTTAAAATGTGTTCAGTAGTACTTTGCAAAATAATGATGAACAGAAACATATGATCAAAGGAAAAAATATATAAGAAAAAGTCTAAGCATGTTTGAGACTTGGAGTCAGCTACTGACCTTCAAGTAACTCCCATATATCTCACAAATTAATAATAATAATGTATGAATTATGGATTCAAAATGAATGACAATGGAGTTATAAATCACACAACTTGATCATGACATTCAAAAGCAATTATTTCATACTTGAAGAAAGAAGTCTTTGTATTCCTGCAAGTTTACTTTGGGAAATTGAGACAGGTATTTGTTTTTTCCGAAATAAAGTATTTTGCTTTTCGAAAGAGTTATGGTTGCTAAAAAGCAGTCGTTTACCGTGTAATTGACATAAATTGCATTAAAAAGCAACTATCCAAGGGTATCCTCAGCTCACGCTGTAGTGAACAAACATAGCATCTTGTCAGAACAGGTCTCTAAGCTCTGCACAGCTGCTTGAGACTATGCAAAATGATTTATGACTCTAAAGCATCTCCTTAGATGAAGAAATCCCTCACTGGTGCAGAGGAAACATAACTGGGGCTCAGTATCTCCCCTTGCCTCCTGCTCCCTTGAAGTAAACTGGCATAGGTGTGGTGGGTCATGACCAGAGCATGCTGGGCATCAGGAGGACCTGCTAAATGAGCAGAAGCTGGAAGAGGCCTGGTAAAACACTCAAGATGCAGCATCTACTCTTTTGCATCCTGAAACAGGAACCTTCCACAATTCAATACATATGATTCATTTCAGGTATGTACTGTGAAATGATTTAACTGAATTCCAGAAGTGCTTGCAGTCCAAATAACTAGTCAAATGTAAATGTCTGCCTTGTAAGTCAATAACTTTTGGATAGATTAATCTCACAATTCAGGTCCTGATTTAAGTCAGAACCTCAAACCTTCAGAGCCAGTAGCTGTTATCTGTCAACAATGTGCATGTCAGTTCTAAACAAACGGATACACATAATTCAAAGTATAATATCTTCAGCCTTTTTCTCTAGTGCTGCTTTTGCTGAGGGAACACCATTGTCCAGGTAAGTCCTGCTTTTCCTCCACTGGAGATACCATTAAACTACTGAGATCACAAAGCAGATTCCAATTTTCTCTTGACTTTCCTACTGCAGGTTTCATTACTCAAGCACAGATACATACATACACAGAAATAAATAATCAGCCTAAGAAATAAACCATTACCTCTATCAATAAAATGCCTGTATAGACAGTAGCATATTACAGTTCATGGATGAGCTCAAAGATAAAAATTGCAAACATAGTGCTTCAGTTCCTACAACAGGCATGCCATCTCTCCTTTTTTTTCTAACCTTGCAGTACTTAGCATTTTGCAATGCCCACCACTGACTAGAATTCACAGCCCTGAGACATGGCCAAGACTTGCTATACCATAAAACTACCGTAAGTCAGGACTAGGACCCACAGAAACCAGAGTGATAAATGGTCAGCTCACTAAGTTAGCTAACAGAAAAGACAAGGAGAGTTGTAAGTTACATCATGTTCCTATAAAGGACTAGATACCATCCCACTGATGGCAAGGAGGGTCTATTTGGACCAGTTTGGGAATCCTGAACATTCCATGGGATTAAGCATGTACACCGCCGCCTTCTCTGAAAGGCACCATTTTCGTCATGATAGTGCTACTGTTTCACATGAAGCACAGCTGGGAGACCATGGTTCAGTTTTCTTCCACAGGAACAAACTAAGGGTTAAGTATTTTATATTAAAAGTCATCAAGACAAGGACTAGAACTTTGGTCTCTACTCTCCCAGGTAAGTGCCCTAAGAGCTGACGTGGAAAGCTCAGTTCATTACACCTCATCATTAGTGAACAGCTACAACAAACCAGGAGACTGCTAAATCCCAAATATCTTTCTGTAGAAGAAACTGATTTCCCACTACAAGGTTAGAGGTTCTGAGCTTGGTATGAGCAGACATGCCCACCAGATCAGTTCCACAGAAGGGACTGCAGGACTGTACCTAGTGTATTGTATGGATCAGAGCGAGCTTTGCAAGACCGAGACGTTTTTAGGTTTGTTGCTGTCAAAACTGGGACAGTTCTAAGCACACCTTTCTTAGCTTTTAGTCATCTATGGAATTTCACTGGAAGAAATTTATTCTAGAAATAAGGATGCATGTAGGCAGTGTAGAAACCTTTCATGGGTCTAGATTCTAAATTGAGAAAGAACTTCTACCCTAATTATCCTGTGTCTTGGTTGTCAAGCTGTAAAGTAACAGCATTTCACTGACTCCAAGGGATACTGAAAGAAAAAACAGCCAAGTAAATGGGAGATGTTCAAATACAGCATGGGGAGGGAGGACGAATAATTACGAAGACAGACAAAGGAAGATTACTGCAATTAGGAGTTAAAAGAAAGACTCCAAAAACATATTTAACATTGTATTTGAGCATTTGTACTCTGTTAGGAAACTGTCTATCAGTATTTTCAATCAGAATTCTATTTCTGATGTTAGAGCAATAACAGAACATTGACAACTAGTAAATCTTAAAACCATACCTTGCTTTTTCTCTACTGCTTTTTCTTGAAATAGAAGGTGACAAGGTAGTCTGTTCATAAAATGAATCTTGTGCCTTCTCCTCTACTGTAAGACTGAAATGGAACAAGATATTTTTGCATGTTATTTGCAGAGTTAGTATTTGCATGTTAAGATATGAAAATGGAGTTCTGATTTTAAAGGACAGTAAATAAATTCCTACGAAGTATATAAGTGGCAGAAATAACCACTAATAAACCAGATATTGATTTAGGGATCAAAAATGATGTATAGAATATCAAATGATGAACACAAAAGTAACTGGGGAATAAGACTGCTGCCAAGGTGCAAAGGCAAGAAGCTGTATCAAAGTCAAAGAAAGAAAACCTGATAGTTAAAGATGACTCTAGAGATCAACAAAGAGTATGAAAGTTTAATTTGTCATAGATATTCTCAGACATCTTTATGGTGTCATATACAAGCTTAAAAGGGAAGCTAATGACACTGTAAACCAAATATGTGATGTGTTGACAGAGAAGAAGGTTTTGGACTTGCAAAATATTGGTAGAGCATTCTTTGATCTGTGAGACTGTTTACAGGAAATGACTCCCAGTTAAACAAGCCCAAGACCAACTTCCTGCGTTCAAATCGAAGAAGATTTGTTAGGCTGGCTTCAACTTAAACAGAGAAGAAATGGACACAGGTTCCTTATCAAGCCTGAAAGCTTGATGCTTGGCTTTGTCCTGCCTCTTGGGATGTTGTGCTTAAAATTCCATGTATTTGTCTGTACAAGAAGATAATCAAATCATAGGTTTCATTGCTGCATGTTGACATTCAGCTTAGATGACATAATTATTATTGCAGATGACAAGCTTTGTTATAACTAATAAAATACTGGGTGTCCCAACATCAGGAATCAAAGGGTGTTAAATGAATGAGTCTAAATGGCTAAGTTAAAAAAATCCACTCAATTGAATAAATCTTTTATGTCTAGAGGGGAAAAAAAAAGTTATTTTCCAAATTCTTATTTTACAAAATACAAATCTCTTGCCTTCTAGGACATGAAGCACTGTGCTGTGATTAAAACAGATCTATTTTATGTATGTGTATATATATCTATACTATGCAGTTTGTACTGGAAACAGTGGAAATGATGGAAAAAATGAGCTATTGCAATAAATTCTAGTAGATCAAGCATGACTCACTCTTCTTGTGGTGTAGCATTAATGAAGATTATGGCCCGACGGTCAGTAAGCCCTTGCATACTCAGTTCTTCCAAAGATAAAAATTTCACTCCAGGTCTTATCTACAAGAAAATTAGCATAAAATATAAGGTGTTCTGTTCAGTTAAAGATGAAGAGAAAAAAATACATTTAAAAGATATCTAAAGAGTAATTTAAAATTCCTAATCTTTAGAAGACGAATTATATAAGAACTTAAAAAGCCATTCAAAATATGTGAAATTTTTTTCTTCTTAATTTGCATTTTCTTCATCAATTTTCTTAGAAAGAAAATTTATTGTTTATAAATTATTTAACTTGTAGTTATTGTTATTATGTCATTCCAAACAGTTCTAGAATAAGCAAGTCCTCCTGCCACTGAAGGCTTTGCAATATAGGACAGAATTTTCAAAAGCAACCATGTGCTTTAGGAGCAGGTATTTCACTGATTTTCAGTAAGACTGGTATTTTTATTTCATTTGGGCATTTTGAAAAGTCCTCCTCAGATTTAAACTGAACACAGCGCTAACAGATGATACTGGAGTCAACCTTTACATATAAACAACACTTTGTGAGAGAAAGGGTCATGACCAAGGTAAAAATATGAACTCTTTCGTTCTTTATGCAAAAATAAACAAAAAAAAGGTCCATAGGTCATTCAGTGTCAGGTTAGTAGTAAGTATACTGCAGGGAAAGAGACCAGAAGAACTAGGGTCTGAGAAAGGATCTGGGAAGGAACTAGGTCTACACAGCTTACATAGGATGGGGAAGAAGATCACAACCGGGGGATAGCATGAAGATGATGAGATTTCATCCATGAAGAAAGATAATAAAAAGAAATTAGTATAAAAGCTGGGAAACTTCAGGACAAAAAACCAAAGTATTATATGTAGTCAGATTCTGGCTTTTGCTATAGTACTCTTACTTTTTCTAAATCAAGAAGCAAATTTTACTCTAATTAGAGTCATTTATTTAAAGTAGCTTACCTGACCGCAATCATAGAATCCATCAGTAATGATATTACTTGATGATAAATATCCCATCTGGCTGTATTTTTGTGAAAGATTGTTATCAAGTAGCTTTTCCAGAGCAGCTTCACTAAAGTTATTTTTGCGCCCTGTTGATAGATTAATTTCTTCTAGGATGTCTAAAGCACTATTAAAGAAAATACAAAGGCTAATTAATCATTAAATACCAATTAATTGTTATTATACAGTTCAGAGTTACTTTTCAGCATTACCAAGGCCAAGACAGATTCATTTCTAAGTGCTAGCCTTGTGCCCTCTGGGCCAGCAAGGAGCTGGCTGTGCTGCACAGAATTCTTTCTCTAGGGAAGAAAATGCCTTGCAGTGCTCAAAAGCAAAAGCAGTTCCTTTAGGCAGTTAAACTGTTACATAAAAAAATGTGGACAGGATGCCACAACCTTTTATGAGAAGGATGTTAGGCACCACAGAGAACTTGAGAAAAAAAAGGATGTAAAAGTAGAGTAAAAGAAATAATGTTCAGAGTTGGCCATATGACACAGTTCAGGGAACCTCTCTCTCTCCCATCAGCTTGCAATGTAATTTGCAGGTTCCAGTTCTGCATTAGCAATTTGTGAATCCTTCTGGTTTAGGACTGTTACTGTGTTTGGGGGAGGCAGAGTTGGCAGAGATTTGTTAAACACGGATGAGTGTAGAAACACAAGCAGTTGTGTTAGCACCACCAGGATGGCAGGATTTTTGCAGCATGGAGGTAGAAACAGTCATGTAGGGCCACAGGAGGACAGGAATTAATTTCTTAAGCTGTTTCTGCTGCTGAAACCCACATACTGATAACTTCTGACCTGAAAAACTTAGGAAAAGCTCACTGAGAAGATAAAGGAAGATGAGTCAGGAGAACATAGCACACTGTAGTTTTGGAACTGTTTAGGTATTAAAAAAAAACCACACAAAAAAAGAGAGCAATATGTTAATATGTGTGTGTATACCTATTTAAGTTTATATCTGTGTGTGTCTATACACACGTGCAGATATTCTTCACATCCTAAGGAATCATTTTATATATATATATGTATCGAGAGAGAGAGAGAGAGAGAGAGGAACTCCATGTTTAGACTGCCCATTTCTCTATATGAACTATACAGGGAGCCTCAGCTGTGGACATTTACAATGTAGACTTCTGAAGGTACATCAGTCGAATTCCAGAGAACAAGATTTTCAGGCAAGGCAAATGACAGCCTTCTCTTTTAGAAGCGAGCAATGGGAGAAAATAGTGGAAGGGCAGACCAGGCTATTTGTCATACAGCATACTGCAACTAAGTCAGGTAACCAGCAAGTGATGCAGGGAGGAATTCTGAAGAGGAAAGTTAATAAGGAAAGCCTAATATGTACAGCAGTGTCTAAAACAGAAGACATTGCAGATACAGTGGCACCTTCCCCTCATATGGAGGAAAGACAAGCCAAAACTGGACAAATATGACTGCACCAAAGATTCTGTGAAGACCCAAAAACCAAAAAAAAGGATTCATACAGAAATGGAAACACTGACACTTCCAACAGAAAAGAAGTAAGGGATAAACCCAAAAGACCCACTGGGAAAGTGAGACACAACTATTCAGGGACTGAAACTAAAATAAATGTTTCATATGCTAGAAGTCAGAGAGGAAAATGTAGGCCTTCTACTCAATGTGGGAAGAAAACTCATAACAGATGGCACAGAAAGGACTGAAGTGTCTGATGCCTTTTTTGCTTCAATTTTCATAAAAGGGTTGCAAGCAGATGATTGGCAGTAATATTAACAAGGAGGTAGAAACAGTAAGCTTAACATGTCTAGAATAAGTTTGAGGACAAAAAGTTAGCACTCCCTGAGGACACTTACCTCATACTACTCTATGAATTGGCAAAAGCAACCTCTGCACTGTTTATAATTGTATCTGAAAACTTAGGGAGGATGGGTTAGGTGCAGGAGAGTGGAGAAGGGCAAAGATAGTATCTAGATTTGAAAAACGAAGGACAAGGAAATGATAATAGAGATCATTCAGCAAAATTTCAGTGTCCAAATAATACAACATCAAATTATTAAACAATCAGTTTGCAAGCAACGAGAGATAAGAAATAGCCATTATGTATTTGTCAAGAATAAATCACGTAAAGCCAATCTAATCCTTTCTGTGATAGGGTAATTGATTTAATATATAGGCAGAAGAAGTAGATGTGAGATACAAGTTGACTTTGAGGTATGTTTTGACTTTAACAAGTCTTTTTACATATTCCTACTTGAATACTCAGGAGCAAGTCAGGGAAATATGATCTACATTAAAATACCATGAAGTAGTACCTGACTGGTTGAAAAACTATGCTTAATGTATTATTATCAGTAATATGCTGTCAAACTGGAATGACACATAAATGAACATCCTACTCCGATACTGTCACAAAGAAGGGATTAAATAAGAACAGTGGTATATGCAAGATATAGAAAATAATTACTGAGCTTTATTTGATGGTGGTATGACCTCAGCTGAAGTACCTCATCCAGGCTGGGAGACGAGACAGCACTTCAGAAAGGCATAAATACATGAGAGAAAGTCTAAGAGGTGTGACAAAATGACTTAAGATTTCAAGACAAAAAGCAACGTAACATTTTTACTCTGTAACATTTTACTTTGGGAAACCGAGGGACATGGAACATGAGAAAATTCAATATGTTAAACTCAAATTGCTACAAAAAGGTGGCTATTTAACCCCACTGAAAGTAGGACAACATGTAGTTGGATTGATTTTCTGTAATGGGTATTTAGAACTCAAAAGCCCCTTTTAATCGTAAGAATACTTCAGCATTAGAACAGGTTATCTCCAAAAGTTGTGACACTTTTTTGATGCTATTTACACTGAACAAACAAAAATATGTTAGTGTACCTGATTCAGTCTTAGATGGATTTTAGTATCTGTGCAGTAATCAGAAAAGTGTCCAGCAGAGGGAGCATGGCAATTACATATATTTTAATTTAACAATAACTAAAAGTGTCACCCTATATAAGGAGCCCTGTGTCGTAATTCTTATAACTTAAAATAGCTTTTGTAATTAAGTTATTAATATATGGAACTTGGAGTTTCTAAGAAGGAATACAACAGAGTCTCTTTTACATGACATTTCAGCACACCTGCAGATAACCAGAGCTTGTAAATCAAATCTAGCCTGTCTGTAATAAGTGCAATTTACTGTATATTGAATTTAGCCTGAAACTTTAAATTCAGTTTCATATATATGGGGCACTGTACTCACTAATTTTGACTGATATAAGCACATCTTCAATATAAAGCCTAATTCAGTCACAAAAACAATACATGTTTTTATAATTCCAGACATTTCTCTCTTCAAGCTTACATTTTTTCTTAAGACTTCTGTTACTTAAAATCCATACCACTGCATCTGTAATGTTTGTGGTGCAAAAGTAATTTCTGCTTACCAAAAATTGTAGCTTAACTTTGTTATTCTATTATAAATATGTAAAGATCAATTTAATAGAGTTCTTGCATCAAAATCTTCCCTCAGCCCCTTGATCAATTTCTACTCACCCTAGCCTGCATAGTTCAACAGCAGTTAGTTCATCACTTGCACAGACCATAACAGCCCAACAGGCATTTCTTCTAACTTCTTCATTCTTAGAATGCAGCAATTCAACAAGTGGTCCCAGTCCACCTGCATTTCTTAGCTATAAAAAAATGAAGACATTGCCACTTCATCTATCCCAGCAAGAACAGTCTGTGAAATTCACCTTCTGAAACATTCAAGCCTCACAGACAAGCTATGCTGGGCTGGTAGAAAGGACATTTATATGGGGGTTCTGTGCTTCTGTGAACTCTGCATAGGCTGGAGCTGAAGCAAGCTTCAGAGTGGTACAAGGCACACATCCCTTCTGGCTCTGCCTTGTTTTTCAGTTACTAGATTGTGGTGTGAAAACTGAAGAGACTATGCAATCCAAGACTGCCACAGAGAGTTACACAGCTTTTTATGTGTTCTGTTGCCTCCTAGCAACTAATTTACATCACAATATGTTTGAATTTGTATTGTATTGTATGTATGACAATCTTATTAACATCCTATTCTCTTGTGTGCTACAGTATCTTTTCTATACATGCTGGAGGAAATATTGCTCATTTGGATTTTTGAAGAGAAAGACATTTTAAGGACACTGAAAGAGGCAGAATAATTATCTATGTCCCTTATTCATGTCCTAATTAACAGCCTTGACCCATGAGGAAAGCCCAGCTTATGATCTATGAATGCACACAGCACCATCCTTATTTATGAAAGGAAAATAGTATGACCATTGATAAACAACAAAAAGTTCAACTTGCTGGATGCCACTGATCAAGGGTTTAATTAGATTCTGAGTTTTGTCTGAATTACATTTACTCCATGCACATACAGTGTCTTATTAATCAAGGTCAAATATTGCTGTTCAGGCCTCAAAAATGGGCAGCAGAACAACACTGCGGGAGAATAAAGAGGATAGAACTTCTCATCTTCAAAGTTCAGCTGACAGTTGGAGCTGAAAGAAACCTCAGCGTGTAATGCTCATAAACATGGGGATTAAGGTATAGCCCTGGTTAAAGCTCACTGAAGCCACTGGAAAGCTGTAAAACATTAATTTGGTGCAAGGAAATACAACAGTAAAAATACAAATTAAGGAAAACCCTTTCCAAGTTCACATGACAAACTGGGCTAAATTCAGCTGAACAAGACTACGATGAAAGTGAAAAATTAGTTACTATCTAGAAAGCCCGGAACTTTTAGGACAGTTGCAAAATACAAATATTCAAGGTAAGTATAACACCAACCTCAGGATCTAGAAATGTTATAAATAACCACAACCTTGAAAAGTAGTTTTACCTCAGTTCTTGCATCAGCATCGCAACCAAACGCAGCCACAGCAAATGCTGCTTTGCTTTGCACTTGGCTGTTGTTCGAGTGCAAAAGTTCTGCAAGCGCCCTCATAATACCACGGCTCTGGATAGTTACACGGAATGGCTCTTGCGTGGCCAGATTTGTAAGCACTGTAGCAGCATTAGCAATGGCTCCATCTCTCTGAGCATTCAAGGTATTTACCAATGGCTCAATTCCTTCAGCCTCAGCAACAGCACTAAGAAAATGAAAGAGAAAAAAAAAAATCTTTGTTATTTTAGGAGCACTTTTTATTCTTAGTGTGCTGTATTTACTAAATAAATTAATATTACATTTCAAGATTATATAAGATATATATATATATATATATGTCATTTATATATGACTCACGGTGTGAAGTTCAAGAGGCATAACCTAAGCAGACAAACCAAGTCACAGATTTCTGGGTTCTTTAACTTATCAGGACATAGATTCCTTCTGAGTTTTCAAACATGTGAATTAAACCTTGCATCTTTTCAAAGATGCATAATTTTTGTATCTTTAGTTCCACACAAACGCCTCCACAGATCTTATTGCCTCTCCCCATAATCATTCTAGTACTACTTCTAATGAGGATTATAGTGCATGGAATATCACATTGTTTTCTGTGCTGTCTCTGTAAAATTCTGTGATCAGATACGTAGGTGGCATAAACATAGTACACCAAGTTTCTGCCATTCTTACAGACTAGGTGTACATAGTGCAGTCCAGTGCAATGTAGAAATTATTGAGCTGGCTTTATACAAGCTGATTTAGACAGCAGGAGTACAACAGACACATCAGCACAGAGCTCAGGGCTGGCTGTGACTGTGCTTCCATGTCAACTATTCCATTAGCAGCAGATCCAGTTTAAATATTCCTTCTGCTCCCAGATGACATTGTAGCCACAACTGAAGGATGCTGCCCCTCAGCAGTGCTGGGATAAATGCTGGTGTGGCCAAGTTCTGAGCTAGGCATGCAAAACATCCTGTTTGCAAATAAAATTAGGGAAGATTGTTCAGAATTTTTTAAAGATCATTTAATAGATTTAGGTTAGAAAACAGCCAAGAAAAAGAACAGTTGAAGAAGCACTGGTAAGGAAATAGCAACTTCAGGCAGGAGACAGCAGAAGGTACAGACAGCTGCATTATTAGAGGACACATTTAGCAAATGTCTTAAATCTGATGTGCTGCAAAACTAATGGTCACGTGGGCCTACATCTCAGCCACAGCAGAAGGAACTGGCCTATAAGCACTTCATTTTAACATTGCTATTCTGCTTCCAGCACTCATCGGGATAGTGCCTTTTAAAAGAGAAAAAAAAAAAAAAAAAACAAACAGTCAACTTACTATTTAATATTTGAGGTAAAGAATATATTTGAAAGCAGCTGGTGAGATGGTTTATGATGATAGTAAACTCCTGACTACAATCAGTGCAGACCCTGAAGAGAGAACCTGGCCTGGCTGAGAGAAAACTACCATGCTCTAACAAATCTGAAAAAGCAGAAGTTTCTGAGTTATCACCTCCTTATATGTATTCTTTGGTTTCTTTGCCATAGGCAAACAGGACTACCAATACAAATGTAGTTTACATTCTTCAAATGCTATAAGATATTCTGTAACTTTTCGTTGATCTTCTTGCCAAAACTTTGCTTTCTACTAAACAACAATAACTTATTTCTTTCTCTGTATCATCTTACATTCATTCCTGTGGTATTTTTTCAGTGTCATTATAAACCAGCACACTATAAAATTTGAATTGTCTTCCTTTTGAGTTTGTATATAAAATTTGATCAAATGATTTGAGGCATATGTCCAATTTACTATCTCCTCTTAGTAATTTTACATTGGGCTCATCTGTTTGTTAAACAAAAGTTGGCAGTATTGTTAGCAATGGAAATGCGCAGATGGCAATTTGAATTTTCCTTGCAACTGCTTTATACCCTCTTTTAGTACATTTTGTCTCTACCAAAAACCATAACAAACTCTTCCACCTCTATACAAGCATATCTAAGCACTTCAGCAACAGAAAAATGTACATTTTTATAAGTCTTGCTAAATTTCTGTCAACGCATTAATAAGAGAAATCTGAATGTGAAAATCTTACTTTTACTGTAACAACGTCTTACCAAAATCTAACTAACCTTTTGATAACTTTCACAGTTACAAAATAAACATAAGCTTAGAAGTATTACATATATGAGAAATAGTTATGCTATCAAAGACTGTCAAGGCAATGATAAAAACAAAAAGCCTCAGGAATGCTGGTAGTCAAGCTCTTATGCAAACAGAATAGAAAGCAGTGTACATGCCAACCTGTGCCATATAAACCAAATTACATGGGCAACATGATGTAGATCTTGCTGTGAACTCAGCACAAGCATCTCCAAACCAGATTTTTGGAGAGGGGGATGCAGATACTCCCAAGCATCGCTGGAATGAATTGGCAAAGGCTAACAGGGTTTGTTAGTCTCATCTCTGCCTCAGCGACAAGGCGATGGCAGCTCACATGTAGTGGGAGCATGGGTGTAAGGAAGGCTGGCAGGCAGGCAGTAGTTCCCAGTTTGGAAAAACAGGGAAAAGGCAGCAACCCAGGGATGGAAGGTGAGTAGGGTTATTATCTTGGGTACAGCATAAAAGTATAGGGCCAGTTTGGTGTTGGCTAATTAATCTTCCTGGAGCACCAGTAACTTTAATGTAAGCATTTTAGTCTCTGTTCAGAAGTGAATCCCATGTTTTCAGATGTCCTTGCACTGCACTCCTCAGACTGTCTTCTATTAGCTGGATTTCCCCTTATCTTAGTGTCCTCCCTCCCCTTCCCTCCTTGACCAGATAAAGAAGAGCTGAAAAAAATTTTGTTTGGGGTTTTTTTGTTTTGTTTTTGCTTGGAGGTGTTGTTTTTTGCTTTACTTAGGTAAGGCCACTGTATCTCTAGGTTCTATGGTTTACATTGTATTTTCTTCCCCATTAAAATTTTATCCTGATTTCCAGCTTCAGGAGTGCTGTAGCTCTATCCAGGCTGTTGTATATGAGGAAATCCTGAACATGTTGATTGCACATGTAAGGATCAGCTACACACCACATGTATCACAAGTTTACCGGAAAACCTGTGGGAGAGTCTCACCACACATGCACAGAGCCATTGACAACAGTAAGGCATGTCCATAAGCTTTCAGATTTACAGCATTACACACTACATACATACATACCTTATCCAGGAAAAAAATCCACTCCAAATCAGTTTTTCCTGTACAATGGATACACAAAAATTCCAGGATTTATGGGACAGATCCACTCCTCACAAAATGCATCACTGCATCTCACAGGTGCAGTATATCCAATACTTCTGCAATAAGTATAGGACTTACTATTCCTATACTACACCCAATAAACACATGTATTGTCCCATAGGAAATCCTAATAAACATATAGTCCCTAACAGACTGATTCCAGGATGATACATGGAACTGAGTGACGTAGCCAATCACATTATAAGCAGATTTACTGTAATTTCCATAAAGCCAGCAAGTACACAAGTACTTAACAAAAGAGCAAGGTGACAGCTCCTTGTGTGTTCAGAGCTGACCTCAGCGAAGTACAGAGCACAGCCAATTTTCTCAAGTGCCACTCAACTTCAAAAAGGTTGAGAACCACTGATTTAGAAGATCATACATATTTATTTCAATCCTGCGTTCTACTTCTGCACAGATTCATTCTGAATCACATTTTCATGAGTATAGTTTAATCAAGTAGCACAATGGATCACAAGGCAAAAAGAATTCATGTTAGAAGTGACAACAGCAGGTAATGATAGTTGAAGGTAACCAATACCTTTGAGAATAAGATTTTAAGAGGGTGTGAACATCTAAGGACAGAGCTGTGTCCCGGTAACAGAGATATGTACAGAAGAGGTTGTGAGGGAAAAAGAAAGAATGGGGAATCCACAGTTCAACTCACTCTTACCCCATAGTCCTCCGAAGAGCACAGAAACAGTGCTGGCACCCTGGGCCACAGAGCCCCAGCTGCTAGAGATGGCAGTGCCTGAGCTCAGAAGAGAGCTGAAAGAATGAGTATGTTTAAGTTTTTGAGGTGCTGAAATACTACGTTAAGATGCATGTATGGAAGTCTTCATTCCCTTCAGTCTTGGGCAGAGATACGCACTGTGTCATTTTTTTTATTACAAGGAAACAAAAGTCAGAGGAAGAAGCACTGTCTTTGCTTAATGTAGATCAGCACTAGCCTCTCTCCCTGCCTCCAGAACACACACTGCTTCAGACACATCCTGCTGAGACGGTGTACTTTATCAGTGCTCCCAGTACAGGACTACATCTTCAAGGAAGAAGGGAGCCTTGGTTTAGCTGAAAAAAAAAGCATATACTTTTTGATGTGGAAAAGGAGTAAATTATATAAATCCACATTTTTTTTCCCTCCACACTGGGTAAAGATTCAAAATACATCAACTTTCCTAATCATAGAGAGAAAACATTAGGGGAAAAGGAAAGAAGACAATGACAAGGTGAAAAAAAAAAGGATGTTGCATTTGCAATATCCCCATGGTTTTTTGAAAAGTGGCAGCTGACTATCGGTATTACAAACAAGCAAACAAGAAAAACCAGATAAGATAAGTGTAGAAATTAAAGAGCTCAAATTAGAGTTAAAATAATTCAAATGTTATGATTTATAAGCACATGGTTATGATCATTAGAGTGCGTAACCTAACAAGGTTAGGCATTTACCTTAACCAGGATATACACAGTTCAGGTACCCTAATGACCTTAACCAGTCCCTGTACTGAAACAGTAAAATTCTGATTACAATTGAATTCAAATTACTGTATCTAAGAATAGCTAAAATATTTTACTCAAGTGTCATTGGAAAGGCAAACATTAAAAGGTCAGAAAATAAATATTTAATACATTAATTTTAAATATACATTGTAACAAGAGATTTTCTTGAAAATTCACTCAAGACTCAAAGAATAAATGCTGAGAATTTGAGGGAAAACAAATGTTTTCTTTACTGTTTTTACTGCAAAAATAAATTAAAAGTTGACAATAAAATCGCTATCAAAAGTTTCACAATGCAAACTCTTTTTCAAACAGTTAATTTGGAGATGCATATGAATTTCACTAAACTGAATATTTTGTTGCTTTAGTTGTCTGGGATGCAATAGGAAAGCTCAGACATTAGCAGAGTGTTGTGAAAACAAGCTCCAGTAAAA